CGAGACTCCTCAAAGGGTCCTTGGTTTTGAGTGTGGTATGGAGCGGATATCGTCAGGGTGAGCAGGTGCTACTCCAGGCTTCACCTGTGTGTGAATAGTGTGCAGCACTGGATGGCTGCGGTTCCCCAGGATGGGATTCCTGCGTTTTAGAGTAAAAGCCTCAACGCCCCCCTCCATGCACACAATGAGCCTGCTCAGCCAGACCGTGGAAAATACGTCACTGCGGTGTGGAATTTGCATAATGGAAATTAGCGACCAGGCCGAATTATTTTCTCAGTTATTTCTGTGGCAGGACACCTCTGAACAACAACCTTCTCCCCTTCTGTTGTGCACAGAGTAGTCTTTCAGTTTCTTGATGAAACTCACATCCGGCTTCTCCTGCGATGTTGTTGTGTCGGGTCTTACACGAGCTCCCCTCCTGGGCAGGTTCTGTCGGTGCCGGGCGAGAGACCCGTGGGGCGGGGGATAATCGGAGGGAAGGGATTGAGGAAACCGTGCATGAAATTGCTGTTAGTAGCTTATTGTTCACAGTTCTCCCTCTCCTCATCCCAGGCAGTTAGCCTGTTGACTGTACAATGTTCATCGGAGTATGAAGGCCCACTTTGGGGAAAGGGGGGGGGGGAATTTAGCAATTAAGCTGGCTGGGGAGGGCTGGACGGGGGATCTGGGTCGAGCGGGGGGGAGGAGGGGGGGTGTTTGTGCCAGTATTACAGCAGGAGGTCAAGGCTGCTCTGTTGCACTTTGCTGCAGCCTCTTTCTGTGATGAGAACTGAGGCAAACGGCCTGCCACCAGTGCTTGGCACGCACTGAGCATGAAGAGCGCCGCGGATCGCAGGCTCTCCAGGGAGGAACTCGTTGACATTCTCCAGGAAAAGGTCAGTGGATCGCGGAGGTCACTCTCTGTGTGTGATCCGTACTCCGCGCTTACCGTGCCGGGCCGCTGTGCGACTCCGAGTCCGTGGTCCGAGTGCCGAGAAATACACCCCTCCACATGGCAGGGATGAAGAGCTGCAGGCTGGGGTTCAGAGGTCTTCTGGATTTCATCCATTACTCTCGCTAATTCCTGATACTCCTCCGCAATAAGGGGGATGTTTGGCTGATTGATGCAGGACTACTTCAGATCTCAGTATTACAGAGGTAGGAAAATAACTTTTGGCAGCTAAAGGCTAAACATTTAAGATGGAAATATTCAGCGGATTCAGCGTTCTGATTTGGGCTGTAACAAGGGCTCAGCAGGCGGCGGTCTGGTGTTTACTGCTGCTTCTGAAGGCAGCATGTGGAGGTAATGTGTTTTCTGGCTGTGAGGCTGCAAGATATTTTCTTGCCTGCCAAGGACAGCGACGATACGTGCTCTGTCCTCCTTTCTGAGGACACAGTGCAGTGGTCCACGCAGACTGTCTGGTCTGCAAGGGAAGACCTGTAGGGAGGTTTACAGTGGGACGTCCCGGCACAAAACAGGCCGAGGAGAGACAGAGTGCGAGACTGGGAACGGGCAGCAGTGCGGGCCAGGATCGTCCCAGGATGGCACAACAGAAGATTAGATTTATTGGCCATATACAATTTCTTGTATAAGGAATTTGTTGGATTCCTCTACGAACCGGCAACCTTCCAGCCACAGGTGCAGGTCCTGAGCCCCAGAGCCACCGCCCTGCCAGACGGTGAGGAGCTGGGGGTGTCGTGTGGTGTGTGCGGGGGGGTCCGGGCGATGCTAGGGCCCGAGAGGACTGGCTGCTGCTCGTGTTCGGGTGGGAAGAGCTGGGGAGCGCCTTCGCCGTGCCCACCAGAGTGGAGCTCCGTCTCTGTCCGGCCGGGATTCAGGCAGAGACGCACGTCCCAGCGGGGGTGCCAGTGCCCCAGTAAGCACCGCTTGTGATCACGTCTTTCAAAGTCGACATTGCCTTTTTTCCCTCAGCATTGTTTTGTTTTTAACCTTTTAAACCGCTAAACCGTAAAATGTGACCTTTCAGCCTTCTCCGTGAAGTTCTTCACGAAACAGATTAGTCTAGAAAAGAAGTGCTTCCTGTTTCTCCCTTCGTGTTGAAACTTTTTGATAAAATCAAAGTGTGGTAATTCCAGTCCCTGTTATTCAGGAAAGGCCTATAGGTCTGCTATCAGATGGCATTTTTCAGTTTTGCATTGATTAAATTCACCTGTAAAGGAACATAGCATAAGCTTTGGAAGCTCTTAATTTCTGCCAATACCCTTAGCAGTTCGCATTTGTCCTGTCAGACTGCACTAATGCTCTAACCTTATACTAAACCTATTAGCCTACAAAAAGCAAATCCTGTCGACAAGAAACCCCAGTTTTCTTAGGATTTGTTGTCTTAGCTGGAAAAGTATCTTGGTAGAAACCAAGTTGTTGCACAGATTGTTTTTGAAAAAGCCTGCACAGGGTCTTTGTGAAAACTCCAGTGTCGCTTGGTGTTGGCGGTGCCTGCTGTTATGTGCCAAGAGTATCGCCACCCTGATTCAGAACAGCTCAAGATCTCACTGGCTGAGCACAGCGCTGCAGCTCAAGTCACGCGTCCAGATTCTGGTGTGTCACCCATTTATCACCTGAAACCAGGGTTCTTTCACTTAAAGCAAAAATGGGCAATTACAGTCCTCTAAGGTATGGAGTTCTGCATGTTTCAGAAACCTATTAACACTGAAAGGAGCAGGTGATCCTACTTTGTCTGCAAATAATCCATTCAATTAGGTAATGAAGAAGCAGAATTCATCTCTGATCTAAGATAATCAAGCATTGCTGGGAAGATGTACTTTAAATTGGCTCCCAGTATCTGAATGTATTAACCGTGCTCAATTGTTTTTAAATATTATACATGTCAGTGATGACTCTTCTAGACTCATGGATTCATCCTCTTAAATGGTCAAGTGATAGTTTGGTTGTTCCAGTAAGTCAATTCTTTTAAGATCCTACATAAGCATTCAGGAGAAAAATCACTTAGAAACAAAAATACTTGTATAAGCTTAAAAGTTTGTGAAAATAAATGCATTGTGTGAAAGTGCAGACAGCATTACAGTAAAC